AAATGATTCACCCTAGTGTATACAAAGGATGATCTGCTTTAATTGGAAAAATAATCAACCTATAGCCAGAGCTATATGGAGGTTTAAATCAAAGTATATTCATGTGTTAGAATGGCCTGAACCATTCAAACTCTGGATCTGAAAATTGATGTTCAGAGATACTCCCATCCTGTTTGCCTGAGCTTGAGCAATTTGGGAGAGATAAATGAGCAAATATTTCTGTCTCTAGGAGAGCGAAGCTGATAGAAACTAGAACGAAAAGACCTGCAGCTGAAGTAAAAGGTGGTTCTTCAGAGTTTTAAAGCAGTGGACTTGATATAAATGTACATTACAGATTTTAGGTGCAAATTCTGTGTTGACCAAACAGTTCTAATAGAAAACACCCTAACATGTGCAGCTGTCAGTATTTACTATTTAGTAAAATCTCAAATTAAATCAAATGATATTCAGTCTATCCACATAAATAAGATATGTAAATATACAATAAAAAGGACTAATGATTTGAGTCTAGAGTCTTAAAAAGTACTAGCAGGCCTTTTCTTGGCTATATTTTTTTCCACATTGGCTATGGAATGACAAAAAAGAAATAATAATAAAATAAAATAAAAAATAACCAGAATAAAAGGCCAGCAAAAGACATTAAAGAAACAGAAAGTATTCACACATTAGAAAATACGAAAAGGGTTTAATGGGACACAAGGCGCAGCAATATGAACACAGCAAAGCCAAAAATAAGAAATACCAAGAAAAATGCTAGAAATGGGATACCTTTTCTTTATGGTCAGGCTGAAGTAGAGAGTTAAATAAAAAGAAAGGAAAGGATTATTCATTCATTTGAAGTGGGACCAAATTAAATAGCTGACAATACTTTTCAATTATAATGAGCTGAGTCTGTAAAGAACACTTGAATAGACGTACAGTGCCTGACAAGTGTAGAGAAAATAGAAGTTCAGCTTATTTTATGTGATGGACCAAAAGAAAGCAGTAAATTAATGTGAGGTAATTGGAAAGATGTGTAGAGGCCACAGCAAATGTGAAAGGAGACAGAATCCTAAACATAGAGAAATGCATTTGTGTTTGTGTGTGTGTAACAAAATGTAAGTGTCCAGGACTCACACAAAGTTAGGGAAATTATACTCTTAACAAATTATATAAAGATGTGTATAAAGAAGTACTTATTAGGACGTTTTTTTTAACTGTACAAAGAGGCCTGCCCCCAAAGGAGGCCCCTTGGGACCATGGAGACTCAACAGGAATGTCATGTCCCTGCAATCTCAAAGAAAAAAAAACACAGATATCTTAATATATCTTTTTCTCTCTAAATGTGATGGCAAAAAAACAAAAAACAGCAAATCCATGAAGTACAGCACTCTAGTGATATCATCTTTAGGACTTCAACCCTAAACAAATATCTTAAAACAATAAATAGCCTCATGACTACAGGGGTCAAACACATACTGCACTAATAAAACGCTTTCTGAAACCCTTTGTGGATTCTATCCAGCTGCTGTAAAAAGTCACACCTAGTCAGGCCTGCAGTTTCAGCCCAAACTGTTTTGCACCTGTTCAGTAAAACATGCAGGCCTGTCCTCAGCGACCTTTCAGTGGGTCTACTAAATATCTCTCATAACGTTAAATCAAAGCTGCACCAATTTCCCAGCAAAAATCCGCCGCTATACTCATTCTGATTGCCTCACTGCGCAGCTGTCACTTCCTTGTCTATTATTACCAGAGACAGAAGGAGCAGCGGATTAAAAGCAGCTCTGCGCCACCGGCACCGTTAATTAGAGACTGTGCGTAAATTAAGCATTTGAATGAAACTTACCACCGGTAAGGAGGCAGATTCAGGCTTCCTGAATATAAAACAGAAAGCGTTTATTGTGATTATCTGTGAATCAGTGACTTACAGGGGGGCGGTCTGAGTGGTCCAGCCCTCCCAGTCTGTGTTCACGCGTTCCCACACGCACTGCAGTAAAGACCATTCCACTTAAAGGGGAGGGCGCACTGATGGCCACCACTACCACACTGTGACCACTGGGGGCGCTAAAGACTGAATAGGTGGATTGTTATGAAATACATCCATATGTTATACATATTAGGTGATTAAAGAGAATAAATTACATTTATATATTTAATTATGGGCATTGACACCTTTGGGAAAATACTTCACCATTACCGTAAATTTTGAGTTAAACACATTTTTGTGGATATCTTAATATAGAAAATTCAAAATCAAAAGTGCTCAAGAAAATAAATGTAATTTCTAATGGAACTGTTGCATAAATATGAACGAAAAAAAAAATGTTTTCCCAATTTTTAAAGAATACACATTTTTTTTTAAATTGTCAATTGTTTAATACGTACAGAATGCTATGCTAGTAATTGTGACCCTAAAAAATTCCCAGATATTTTCACTCCAAATGCAAATCCTGCCAGAATTGAATGAGACAGCTTAATATGGTGTATATTGTAAAGTGAATGGAAATCAAGGTTTTTTTTCTGTTTTACAGAAAAAATAAAATAAAAAAAAGTTGATATGTATTCAGCCCCTCTAAACATTTTGAGCTTTAGTTGATTGCAAGTTCTTCTAAATTCAGGAAAGTTTTTTCATACCGGTATGCTAAATTTATAATTCGCTCTGACATCAGACTGAAGCAGGTACATATCACTTCAGATATAGTTTGCAGTAAATGGAAGGACAGATGGAAAGTCATGATGATTATTTCATTAGATAAGTACACTTCAGATATAAACCAGATATATATATATATATATATATTTTATTTACGTTGCTTGTTTTTAAACATAATTTTCTTTCATGAAGGACCCTCTTGAGATCCTGGAACACGGCTCTCTTCCTGATGTTTTCCATTTAGAAGCAAGTAGCTCTCTAGGTAGATTATTTGGCTTTAAAGCCAAGCTTCCTATGGTGGAGACAAACGGTTGTGTTTTTTACATGAATAATAATTTGTTTTGCTACTAGTTTGTCAACAGGCATAGACATTGTGGCCAATGGGCTTATGGGTCTGTCATGACATGAGGTTATCCACCTTTGAAAACAGGAACAACAACATCTGGTTTCCCACATCCGTGGAAACATATTCTGTGAAATAGTCAGATAGTAATAGGGTGTGTGAATGACATACTGAGCTCCTTAAACATTGCTACATCCATGTCAAAATTACTTTTCATATGGGTGGTGTTGGCAATTTGTCAGTTGTACCTTTGTATCTGAATGCTTTTTAACCTGTGTCTATTCAGCTCCTCTATTTTTCCTTGTTAGTTTGATATTTTTTTTGTACGACAATTTTGGTTTGTTTTGCTGAGCCTCACCTTTTGTTTTGGTTTTGTGCACAGGACAAAACATAGTTTTAATTTAGGTTCCTTCCTTTCAAATCCTCTTAGAATTCATCCAAACCTCTTTCATGACTTCAAAGAATCAAATAAATCCAAACAGACTTATTTGCTCCAAAAACATAGGCTTAGAAAGTCCTCATAAGAAAATACTGTTTGGGAAAAAAACACCCAGAAGACTGAACCTCCTGAGGCCAAGAACAACCTTCCACTGGAGCTGCTGGTTATTTTCTTCACTGCTGTTTCTGTGTGATTTCTCTTGTGCACAAAACAGGACTGATCCAGGCTGCAAAGATGGATCTCGGGTCAGGAAAAGAGAATTTCACATCCCTGCAGAACCTACACACCCAGAACTGATCTTTGTTCTCAAGTTCACTTACTTTTTTTAGTTATGAACTGAGGCCCAGTGGGAGATTGCTGGTTCTGGCCCTGAGGCGTATTGAGCTAATCACAAAGGAGATATTATGCAAATGCGTTTCATGGAGATATAGAGGAGCAAAGGCAGATAAATTATTTTATGGGCTTTATTTTTGTAATTTCCTTCAATCTTTAAACATTTCCTTTAAGAAATATGGACCATCTGTGCAAACCTATTAATTAAATAAAAGCTTGGTTTGTTAAAATCTGAGAATAGGAAGAAATGATATCACAAAGTGTCCACATATGTCCAGTGATTAACTGTTTAGGGCTTTTTTGGATAATTGTTTGATATTTAAATCTTAATAATTTACATTATATAAATGTCTTTCCACTTTTTGACTTTTGGTGAATATTATGTGATAGAAAATGTGATGGGCAATGACTTGACTAGGGTGTGCCACACCTCTCTCCCATAAACTGCTATAGCAGCTCCCACCAAAAACTGTAAGAAATATATATATATATATATATATATATATATATATATATATATATATATATATATATATATATATATATATATGTATTGTACATAATGGTCACTTTACTGCCTGACTAAGATGATTTTAAATAACATTAAAATAACATTTGTACAGGGCTTTACTATTCAGTGCTTTGTTTGTAGGATGTAAACAGAGAATGAGGATGTACTCTAACACCACAGCTACTGATTGGGTGTGACCACATATGCCTCAGGTTATGAAACATAGCATCTTAAATGTGACCTGTTTAAACTGTTGCTTCAGTTTTCCAAGGGACCCCTTTCACAACGGGCACCTGTATTTACAGTATGCAGTTACAACCAACAACCATGCTCCGGGAATGTCATTATAACAAAAAAAGTTTAGAATTTCTGATAGCATGTATGGTATATTAACATTTTGAAATCACAGTGATGTTTTCACAGCCTTTTCCAACATCCAACATACAGTATTAATGTTTTGCTAAAAAAGAGGGGCTTGTGGTGTGGTTACTTTCAGGTGTGTCCTTGTTTTGTTTCAGCTGTGGTCACAATGAGCTCACGGTGGATTTTCCTACGACTGCTGCTGTCTGCACCATCTGTTTCACCTGTCCACAAGCAGCTCCACCCCTGTTATCTGACTCCAGTTCCCTGTCACCACAGGCGACTATAAAGCCCTAACAGACAAAGACATTTCAGGGAAGCGTTCTATTTGTCGAGGCCCATCGTAGAAGTTGACCGAGCCCTGTTATTAAATAAGGAAATCCTGCCTGCGAGCATTTACAGAGGGTGAAGATGACCTCCACAGCAGATCGACTGGCCCACCAGCACCAGAGGGCTGAGGGCATTGGTACCAACCAGAAGGCAGTGAAGTTTTGCAATCAGGACTATGAGACCCTGCTGCAGCAGTGTTTGAGCAGCGGATGCCTGTTTGAAGATGACTGCTTCAATGCTGAGAGCAAGTCACTAGGTTATAATGAACTGGGACCATACTCGTCCAAGACAAGAGGGATTGTTTGGAAGAGGCCAACGGTAACAAGCCACTGAAAATATTGGTGTCAAAGACATAAATTATTCAGTTTTAAAAGAAATCATTGTGTTTTTCATCTCTAATAGGAGCTGTGTCCTTCCCCAAAGTTTATAAACGATGGAGCCACCAGGACAGACATTTGTCAAGGAATTTTAGGTGAGTTTCATGCTCCCATTTCAAAAAGTAACTACCCTTCTGTCTTAAAACCTCCACCCACTGCTGCCATAAAATTTCCAAACAGAAAATACTCCTTTTACACTGAGTGGTAATTTAGTAGCTTTTTTTTCTTTATTGTAAATGAAACTGTGGACACTTCAAAAAATCTTAGCCTTATAAGAACAATTAAGACCAAATTCAAGACGAAAATTTAAACTTAATGACAAAATTTCTGGGCAGCCAACCTACATATGATTGTAGATTTATTCTTATATCCTAAAATTAGTTTGACACCACAAAGCAATGTTTTGTTTTACTCTGTGAAAGTCAACAAAATAAAGCAAAACCTTGAAATAAAAACTGAAATTGCTGACAAGTTACTGCATATTAATGCAGAAAAAACATGTTTAGTTTAATGTAGTTGATCGAGTCCATTCTAGTAAAGCTGGACTTAAATTACTAAATTACCTATACAGTTCATGACTATTGTAGGTGATAAATGTTTTCAAAGCAGCTGAATATAATATAATGATTATGGTCTAATTGGAAAGCCTTGAGGCTTATTTACAGTCTGATTTTAAAGTATTTTTTGCACCTCATTTTTTTAGGACAAGCTGTTAATCAGAATGAAGCTAGTTTTAATACATAATTTATTGTTCTTCTGACACAAAAGTAATTTTAAAAGTTATGTTAAGGTCTCCAGCTCCATTTTTAGGTCTTTAAATTACAGATTTCCATGTTTATTTATCCAGGAGTGAGGAGAATTGGGTGAAATATAACCTGAGAGCAGTAGCATGGATACCTGTCAAGTTAGGGAAGATAAAGCGATACGTCAAGGTCTTTCTTTAGTGCAGTGTTTTCCAACCTTTTTTGTCTTGTGTACCGCCTTGGACATTTTGTCATACCATGAGTTCCCCTCTCAGTCAAAAGGATTGATGATTGTCCAAAAGTGGAACGTACAATAACCAACCTGAACATTTAATTCTTATAATTTTATGCTTTCCATTTAAAAAAAAACAAAAACAAAAAAACACACCAATATGTTGCCTGGAAGTTGGAAAGGAACAAAATAAATATAAAATAAAACCATATTATAAACCTGTATTTATAAATCTGGAGCTCCTCCGAGTAACTCCCTTATACTCACATTTAAACTTGATGAATTAGGAACAAAATACTGAACAAAAATTAGAGTCAGACTGACTTAATTAGTTTTATTTGCTTTCATCTAGACAACTGAGCTACTTTGATTAGCTCTGACAGCTCAGTGTGAAAAACAGCTGATACCAGGCTGTTCTCTGCATCTCGTCTGTTCCTCTGCTTGATATTGATGTTGGTCACAGCTCAAGATGAACTCAAATATCTTTTTGGTTGATAAAAGCTTGTTTAAATTTTCAACTGGGTCCTCTCAAAGCCCAAAGATCCCAGGGACTACCTAAGAAATAAAATATTTTCATGTATTTGCAATGCACTCGTGGGCCACTAGGGATGTGCGTAAGTAAATGACTGCTTGCGGCAAAAACTTTAATTTTTAAAGAATACCTTTTCAACAGTTCTGTCCAGAATACCTAATATGCACTGACATGTATTAGGATGTTTCCCAGCAGGTCTGTTATATTCTATCAAGTAAAAGTGTTATTCTGTGTTCCCAATCAGCAATCACTTGTCCATTAAACCAGGTCCTAATTCAGTTTAATTTGCCCTAATGTTTCAGGAGATTGCTGGCTCCTGGCAGCTATTGCTTCTCTAACTCTTGACCAGCGGATCCTGCATCGTGTGGTGCCACCTGGACAGGATTTTACCCAGGATTATGCTGGAATATTTCACTTTCAGGTCAGGGAAACTTTCTCCCATCATTGTACTAACATTTACCCAACAGGCTTCTTTATTTCAGCATTTTCAATTGTTTAAAGATGATTAAACATTTTCACCACAGGAGAGAACAACACCAGACTTGCGTAGAGCTGTCTGTTGCACCACTCTGTAAAAGTTGATGCAGAACAATACAAGGATCCCACAAAGGCTATAAAAAGAAAACATGCTGATATATACCTTGTATAACACTTTCATATTGTTTCTTCCAGTTTTGGCAGTATGGTGAGTGGGTGGATGTCGTGGTGGATGATCGTTTACCCACTAAAGATGGGAAGCTTCTGTTTGTTCAATCAGCAGAAGGCTCAGAGTTCTGGAGTGCTTTGCTGGAGAAAGCATACGCAAAGTAGGGATCATTCAAACTTGGCTTTTTAAAAATCTAAATCAGTGTAACTACATAAGCTGAATTTGTGCATCTGCCGTCTTTGTCTGATAGGGTGAACGGTTGCTATGAGGCTCTGTCTGGAGGACAGACCATTGAGGGGTTTGAGGATTTCACAGGAGGAATTGCTGAAATTTATACCTTAAACAAGGCTCCACCTGAGCTCTTCCAAATCATTCGGAAAGCCTTATGCCTGGGTTCACTGATGGGCTGCTCTATTGATGTAAGTATTATTCTATAGCTAACAGTGTGTAAAAAAAAAAAAAAACAACTACAACAAAAATGTAATCATGAGAGTATTTGATTAAAATGTTTATCTCTGTGGTTTTTAGATCACCAGTGCCTATGAGACAGAGGCAGTGACAGCTCTGAAGCTTGTTAAAGGTCATGCATACTCTGTTACTGGAGCACAGGAGGTGATTATTTCAGTTTCTTTGATTTTCCTGCAAAATGCTGGAGTTAGCTTTTTACCCTCCTGTTACTCTTGTTGCCTGTATCCAGGTTAACTATGATGGCAGGGTTGTTCAACTGGTCCGGATGAGAAACCCATGGGGAAAAGTGGAATGGACAGGTCCTTGGAGTGATGGGTAAATACCGGATATTCAAAAAATGAATTCCAGATATAATTGTTATCTATTCCAAAAAAGTTTTAAAAAAAAACACAATCCACTGGAATTTGTTTCTAAGTTTGAAGATGTTTCGCTACCCATCCAAGAAGCTTTTTCAAAATGTCAGAAATAACATTGAGTTTGCGGCTTTATAGAGTGGACCAAAAACAAAGCCTTGTTTTGGCTTAGAAAACATACAAATTGAACCAGACTAATGGTTCCGCCCCTTAGGAATGGGGATCCTTTGGGTGATACCCGACACCTGTCTATGTTACTGAAAGGGGGGTCGTTAGAGGGAATTGTTGGCCTGGGTGAAGAGGTGAGGAGTTCTGTTCCCCTGTAAGGGGGTTGCAATAATAGCGGGAAGGAATCACCTCTATAGCTGCATTGGGGGTTTTGAAAGCTGATATCTGAGTCCACCCCCTCTGTTTAACGTTGGTTAAGATGGCTTCCTTCACGCCCCTCTCAAACCACCTGTCTACTTTGTCAAAATGGTTCTCTACTTATTGATGTTCTTTAGAACTGTGCTTCCATCAACTTGTCTTCACAATAGGATTTTGCACACAGATTTTTGTGTTTCATCAGAAAATCTGATCTTCTTTAAATAGATCCTCTGAGTGGAGGAACGTCAGTGAGGAGGACAAAACTAAGCTGAACCACGTGGCTGAAGATGGAGAGTTCTGGTATGTAGAGGTTTGAATTTACAGTTTTTTTAGTTTATGAGCTTTACTTTAGTGAGATTTTATACAACAGACCACAATTATAACACATCATTCTGAAGTATAAGGAAAACTATACATTTAATTAAATGCCACATCAAAACACAACCTTATAAGTGATGTATATATTTACAATCTGGCCTTTTGCTCTTTACTATACCTTAATTTATTCCATTGCCAAAAGCTGCTCTGTAAAGGCCTCTGAGGTTAATGAACAAGAATCACCATGAAAATTAAGTAACACATCAGACAACTTAGCGACAAATAAGATCGAAGAAGCTTTATATGTAAAGCTTTCTTAAAGCTCACCCTCATTCTGCATTGAAAAGCCATAAGGGCAATCATACAGACCCCCAGCTTACCATTAAGATCACACATGGTGAAAACAAATTGGTCAGATAATATTGATGCTTCATTTTTTTTTAGCATGTATTCAAAAGTCCTCATTACAGATAATTAACCTTCAACACACCATCCCACTGGTAAAACATGGTGGTAACAGCATCATGCTGTATAATACATATTTCCTCAGCAGGAACAGGTAACCTGGTTGGGGATTAGGGCTGAAATGATTAATTAGATTAATTGCGATTAATTAATTATTGAAATAATTGTCTACTAATTTAGTAATCAATTATTCGTTAACTGGATTATAAAGACTCTTAAACATGCCTTTAGCTGACAGAGCAACCCGCTTAGAGCAGTAACTATACCAAAATTGCATTAAAAAAAATTGTGTTTTAGTCTGTCAATCTGCTCTATCCAGAAGTCCTAATGTCAAAAAGTTTTAGATTTATCTGGTTTGAGTTCATAAAAAGCGTTCTTTGAGGAACCTTTGCCTATCCAATTATTAAGCTGAAAAATATATGCAGAATAATCATTAGTTTCAGCCCTGTTGGAGATGATGGGTAAATCAGAGTAAATAGGGGCCATTCATGAAAGAAATGTTTGGGCAAAGCTTTGTCTCCAAGCATAATGATGCTAAAAACAGACACTACACTCTGCTGAGAGTGTGTGGCTTCACTTTTTATGCTGGGACTTTTAAAAAGATTTATGAATCACAAAGTACTTTTGCAAAATGATGTAGAACAAAGTTACTCTTCGTTTTCAGGATGTCTTACTTAGACTTCATCAAGCACTTCTCCACGCTGGAGATCTGTAACTTGAGCCCGGACACGCTCCAAAGCGATGAAGTTGGTCACTGGAACTACTACCAGTTCGAAGGGATGTGGAGGATTGGATCCACTGCTGGCGGCTGCAGAAATCATCTAGGTTGGACAGATCTGTGGAAAAAGTTCCTACAATTCCGAGCACAAAGACTTGCGTTGGTTTTTCTGTGTAAATATTTCTCATTTTGGTTCCTTCCAGCCACTTTCTGTACCAATCCTCAGTTTGTTGTGCGTCTGGAGGATGTTGATGATGATCCTGTGGATGGGGAGGATGGATGCACCTTTCTGGTGGGGCTGATGCAAAAGGATGGACGGACGAAGAGGAGGCTTAACCGCGATATGGAAACCATTGGCTTTGCTATTTATAAGGTGTGATGAAATAATATCCACGTCATTTAAATATATTGAAATTAATTCTCAATAATTTTCTAAAACATTTGTGATGTGTTTTATAGGTCCCAGATCAGGTTTGTATCAGCTCAAACTTTTCTATTCTCTCCTTCATTTGAGTCTGAAGCAAACCTGCAATAGGATCCCTGAGTATCTCAGTTTTAGTGCTCCTTTCTATTTCAAGTACAAAGGCTGTCATAATGTTCACCTTGGCCCAGACATACTGCTGCGCCAGAATCCTGTAGCCATGAGCAGCAACTTCATCAACACCCGTGAAGTATGTGATCGCTTCAGACTCCCTCCAGGAGAATATGTCATCATTCCTTCGACCTTTCATCCCTATAAGAACGGCAGTTTTCTTCTCAGGGTCTTCTCAGAGAAAGAGGCTAGCACCAGGTATTGGAGATGCATTCGCATCTGTTTATTTAACACCCATGAAGCTTAAAGCTGCAGCTCATACTTCTTATATGAAGTCTATTTGAGAATAAATAACCCTAGATTTTTGCTTTCATTTCAGTTCATTGGAGGAGGAGATAGGTGCTACCATAGAAGAGGTAAACTTGACAGTCTATCCGGTTTTTCCTGTTTTCACAAAAAGATAGTGTTTGTTGTTGTTTTGTTTTCAACTGACAATTCGCTCTCTTGTAGGAGGAGTTGTCAGAGAGTGATATTGATCCCAATTTCAAGAAAATCTTCAAGGAAGTTGCAGGCAATGTATGTTCCGATGCAAAAATGCTCCATTTTGTCCTAAGAATTTGCATTGGAGATTTGAGCTTTTCCGGACTCCATTATGCAAAATTCAGATCATGATTTACATTTCTTTTAACAGGACATGGAGGTATCTGTCTTTGATCTGGTTAAAATTTTGAACAACATTGTTTCTCACCGTAAGTAAAGTCCCTAGATAACCTGGTAAAGAAGTGTATAAGCCTTTAAATTACTTCTTTTTAATAACTAAAACCATGTTATTTTGAATAAATGTATGTAATAGAACAAAAAAAAAAATCTAGAGATATGAAGGTTTTGTTATTAAAAGAAAACACTTTTGAAGGAGCTGTTGCTTTTAATACTTTAAAGTACCATTTTGTTTATAAAGCAGCACCCATGTTTCACCAAGTCAAGTAAAGGAGGTGTGGCCATTCTAATCTGACAATTTTCTCACCACATGTTTTCTGCAGGATTTAGCTACAAGGACTCAGATAACTATGGCTATTTTCTGTGTAATAATATCTGTTTATTTTGCCACATGACCTGCTGATTCACTGATTCCACTGGATTGGTATTGGAATCCAACAAGGCTTCCAAGAACATAAAAGAAAACAGAACCAACAGCAGCAAAAATTATTCATCCATATTTAAAAATTGGCCCACCTGAAGTTTTTGTCCCAAAATATCAAGGTACACTGCTCCAGTTAAAGTCCCAGTAGCGGTTAGCAAACTATATATATGTTTAAATTTCTGATGTTGGAATTACAAAAGGTTCATCCCTCTCAAAATTTACTGGATGTAGATGCATTGAATTGTTTGTTGCTATTACAAAGATATGCACTCTTTGCTGCTAGTGGTCTCTGAATATTTATTTTTCCTCTCTGTATTGTATATGAATGCATTGCAATACATGGATGCATTGCAATGCATTTAATCTTTCACATTTTCTTTGGGGTTTTTGAAGACTACAGTGAACAATGCATTATTTTTCTTCTTTCTCCAGGCCCTGACCTCAAAACAGATGGATTCAGCCTTGAGACAGGGCGCCTCATAGTCAGTCTGCTGGATGTATCCTTGATTAAAGATGGTACTCAAAGCCAGAATTTGGTAACAATATAAATAAAAAAATATATATTTTTTTGAGCCTTAACATTCTCAGAAAGATGAAAGTGCCAAGCTGGGTTTGAAGGAATTCTACGTTCTCTGGAACAAACTTCAGAAATACCTGGTATGATGTAGCCTTCTCCTTTAAAATAACATAGTCAGTACTCGAGTTTAGCGAGGATAAGGGGGGGTGGCATCCCCCTTAAAAAAAATCTTAAAAATCATCGCCTTCTTAAATTACCATCCCCCATACCTTCCCCTTTGACATTTTATTATTGAATGTCTAAAATGTCTACTATATATTAACAGTAATGGCAATAAGATTGCCCTTTCAACATTTGGTGCGGTGTGGGCTGAGCAAAATAAATAAAATCAAAAAAGTGGAAGTGACTATGAAGCTGATCCCAGTGGGAAATTCGTCCTCTGCATGTGTCCCTAACTATGCAGGGGCAGTGATAGCCATGCCAATCCAGGGACAGACTGCAGTTCTATTGTAAGGTGCCTTGGTCAAGGTCAATGACCGGCGTACCTGACATGTGTTAGGATAATTATCATTAATGATGTGTTAGTGTATTACACCCTAATATTACCTGCCTGTTGTTGTCGGAACTAATGTTTTCCCCTGTAGTTTATCTAATTAGGCCAGCTCTGTCAGGATATACAGTTATATTCTTCATTCTGCATGTTGCAAAGATTTGGGAATGGAATGAGAGCGGTGTCCTTGATCTAAAAACAAGAAGTAATATTTTGATAAACTGGAGCCATGAATGTCTCCTCATCTGCAAACATGTATGATGTGCTGATGTGATGATGTGGCATACTGGAGCTGTATAAAATGCTTCTCTAACTGTTTATCGGGGCCCACTTCACAAAATTTGAACCTGGTTGGTAAGTGCTGTTTTCTGTAACCCTAAGCAACTTCTCTGATCTGGGTAAGATTACTATTTTTTTTATCAAAAGATGATAGCAGTTAGAGCAAAGTTTACATTTGAGTTTATAAAGTGAGATGGTGATTTATCACATCACGCCTGTCCCACTTCACTGATTAGCTGTGCTGTTGAGTTAACAGGTAGCACATCCTCTCCAGATCGACGCATCTATGAGTACATTTGTGAAATTTTTACCTTTGTTTTTAAGTGCTTAAATGATCTTTACCCCTACTTACCTCATCGGTCCCTCAGGTCAGCAGAGCAGCAGCTCCTGCAGGTACTGAGATTTAGAAGGAAGCTCAAAAAGGCCAGGGTCTTCTGGCAGGAGTGACCAGGAGTTGGTCATTGTGACTTTATTTAGTTGAAAAAATCTTTATTTTACATATTTTTATGCTGCATTTTATTTTTTTCATTGTGAATTTTATCATTTTTAACTATGTTGTTGATGATGATGATGATGATGATGATGATGATGATGATGATGATGATGATGATGATGATGATGATGATCTAGTAAGGGCAAACAGAAAGTAAATTGTCAAAGACCAGCTTTGTGACTTTACACAGTTCATCCATTGATTATAAACCTCCCTGTGGTGAGGCACACAACCACTACATTTAGTTTTTGGTAGCATTTAGATAAATATAATTTCTGCTCTAGATCTGTCCAGCATTGTTACCCTGAAACTACCTATTGTGACACACACCCATTTTACCAAGCAACCTAGTCAGCAGAACACAAGTCGTTTTTCTCAAATTCTGTTGTTAGGCCTTGTAGAGAGTTCTTTCCAGAAAATCCTACACATGTAAAAGATAAATATATGAAAAACTCCATAAGTGCAAAAATAGCAGCCTTGTTGTCTGGCTATTTGCTCTCTGCGTGAACTATGTTGGGTTTTCCTTTTTGCATTAGGTTTTTGCTTCTCTTAAAACCAAGACTGTCAATGTTTTATAGTAAAAACCTTCCAGCAAAGACAGTGTTAATTTTGGGGAGGGGTTAATGCTTGTAATAACAGACCTGACGACATCCTTTGGCTGTGTTGCCAATAAATGACCACTCATCTGTTTGACATATATCTGGTAAAATATCATTATTTTTAATGAAAGGTAAGATATTTTTGATTAAGAGAAAGGATATTACAGCCTGGGTTATTTACTCCCCTTTCCTAACCACTTACAAATTCAGGAAACTAGCAACGCAAAATAATTTATTCACATTGAAAACAATGGACATTTAGATTTTTTTGATCTCTCACATGATCTAGCTTTATTTGCTTCTGGTTTCTGAAAACTGATGTTATACGCCCCCAAAATAAATGTCAGCCAACCTTGGAAATTGTCCTTATGATGTCCCTGTTTATGTGTCGGTCATATAGGAGATCTTCAAGAGCCACGACACAGACCGCTCAGGTACAATGAGCTCCCTCGAAATGAGAGATGCTGCAAACAAAGCAGGTAACAGATACCAAAAAGCCTTCGAAAATAGCTGAAACTAACTGCTGCTTGATGTTATTTTTTAATCAAACCATTTGTCTTCTCACTAAAACCTGCTTCCTTTTTAATTCAGCTTTGCAAACACAAGGTGGTGCTTTCTTTTTAGAACTTTTGTTGTATTTGACCACAACTGCAGGAACAAATAGCAATGTTTTGACTCAGATGTTTGTGTGTCTATGTGTGTGGGAGACACTTATGAATGCGGTTACTGAGGAACTGGAAAAGCCAGTTAAGCTGCACCTGCACCAGTGCTCACATGTCATTTTATGCACTTAGAACCTGGCACAGGAACAAAGGATGCAAAACTGAAAAAAATCAACAAATCACTCCTACTAGTGTCTGACACCTTTTAAAAAACTATACTTGAGCAGGTTAAGATCTAATACCTATCTTTGACAGTATCGGACACAAGATAACACACGACTCATCTTCCTGTTTTCAGGATTTCACATCAACAGCTTGTTGTTGCAGGCCATTGTCAATCGCTATGCAGATGCACTGTATGCGATAGACTTTGACAACTTTGTAGGCTGTCTCATTAAGCTGGAAATGCTCTTCAGTAAGTGACTACAATCTGACAGTCGTATTTTTCCTATTGAGAGTGGAGAGTGGTGTTTACATTAGTAATATATTTCTTTGTCTGCCTCGTTAACAGAAATGTTTAAAGCAATGGAGAAAGGAGACTCCGGGAAGATTGAGCTGAGCATGGAAGAGGTCAAAGATAATATGATAAAATTCTGCATGTCTTTACATGACTAGTAATTAACTGTCTTATATCAGCTAAGATGATTTTTTTCCTCTTGCAGTGGATGTGCCTGGCGATCTATTAGCTCTGAGGACAAACAAGGAAAGAAAATCAGGAACAAGAAGAAATAACATAAAAAGCATTGAATGTTGAAACTAGTCAATGTTTGGGCTCTATACATTCTGTGAAATAAAAAAATAAAGAAATAAGAAAAGTACCTCTTTATTTCTGATTTAGTTTAATAGTAAAAATTTCTGTCACTGTTGTGTGGACAGAATCTTGCCTGAGTTGCTTTGAACACGTGAACCTGAATGGGCTGTCCTGCGTTAACAATAAGGGGTGTGGAAACATTTAATTTGCACATATCACACAGAGCCTGTTTAACCGAACACACTGTCACAAAGAGCAGAGGCAGTAAGCCACAGGTAGACAAAAGCTGATAAAATTCCTGCAAGATGTCTGGCATTGCCTCCAAGCTTCAGCATTTTAGAGATAAATCTCATGGGATTGGAACCAACGCTCACGCACTGAAATACCTGAACCAAGACTTTGAGGAGTTGAAAAGAAGCTGTCTGGAGAGAGGACAGTTGTTTGAGGACGACTGCTTCGAACCTCTTCCTGCATCCTTAGGCTTCAATGAGCTCGGCCCAGACTCCCACAAAGTGCGGGGAGTCACCTGGAAGAGACCTTCTGTGAGTGCTGCCATGGGATCAATATTTCCAGGAAGCTACTGAATTATAGTGGAAAATGTAAATCTGTGTTTAGCTGAAATCAATGAAAATACTTTATTTACACTTTTAATAAAAGGTGCGAAATAGAAAAAATTATTTTCAATTTGCTGAATATCTTAAATTTAAATTCAATCATCTCATGTATATGTTTTGTTTCTGACTTTTTCTCTTTTTTTATCATAGTCAATAATCAGACACTTAAAGGATCTAGATAACTGGAATAATTCAGATTTTTTTCAGGTGTTAAAAGTGGTTAGCTCTTTCTGTATAAAAATTATTTCTAATTTGAGTACTGGTCTATGAATCGTCAAAATCGCAAAGAGGGTAATAGTAGTTATATGTGAGGTAGAGGCTGGAGCTGAAGCACCAAGAAGTATCCTTCTGTGTGAAACACATAAGGTCTTACTTATCTGTGAAGATGAACACTGACCAGGATGATTTACATTTTCCATTCTCAGTACACGCTTCACACTGGAAGATCACACCCACCCAGAACAGACCTGACAATGGCTGTGATATCAAATAACTTGCTTTTTTGCTGTTTTAACCCTAGATCTTCTGGGATTATCATATTGCCCTAAAGAAAATTTTTTATTTTAGTATGTAAAAAGCTTCAAAGTCCTTTTTTTATGTAAAGAATTTTAGTTATGTATTCTCATTTTAGTTAGTTATTCTCACTATGTGTTTCACCAGTGGAAATTTTTTTCTGATGCACTACCTACAACCTCCACAATGTAAACAATCAAGGCCTCTTTTGTAAATTATACCTCAGCAGCCATGACATGATTTAATACAATTTTGTTTTCAGAAACCTCTATGATGTTTTGAAATTGGAGCTATTTTGAGAGGATGGTAATCCACTTTGGTCGTTGTCCCTCTAAGACAAAGGATAAAGATCGCAGGGACAAGCTAACCTGGATTAACCTTTAAATTAACATAGCAAACGTAAAGAAAGATATTTCGAGTTTAAAGTCTTGAACAGAATCCAACTTCCTATTCTGAGCTGCCACTTTGAATAACATCTCAAAAGGTTAAGATAATCAGGTGATATGGTATGAGGAAGTAACACATTTTGACTTTTTTATCAAATCTTTTTTTGTAGGAGTTGTGTTCAAACCCAAAGTTCATCTCTGAGAACGCTACCAGGACTGATATTTGTCAGGGAGCACTGGGTGAGACACAACAACCCCCCACCACAAGCCCACACACACAAAATGTGTTCATCACATTACAAATGACTCACATTTAGTTTTATTACACCAGGAAGTCACCAAAGAATTAGACTATCAGCACTTTTCATTTGACATCTTTCCATACAGAACTCTTCTTAAGCTTTTGCATGCTTATCTTAGCCTTTTATATTCACAACTGAAACACACTGACACTGACTAATGTACTGAAAGCGTTATGCACTTGGTTACATTGCTCTGTTGAATATCAATCTTTGGGAACTGTCCCGTTTTTTTTCCATGGGCAAAAAACACCTAAGGCTAATAACTCTAACTGTAAATATCTGTGTACTGACATCAGCTGTCACAGGTCACAACATCTCCATCCTGTTTCTCCACCCACACCCAGTCTGCCTGAAAACTTCCATAAGTTGGTGACACTGAGTAGTATTAAAAGATTAGGCGGAGGTTTTTCTTTTTGTGCAACTGCTTTCAAAATGTGTAGGAGATGTTCTGCTGTGACGACATCAAACCACCTCAAATGCTGTCGGAAGTAGATCGATTTTAACACTGCAATTTAATATAATCAACTGATTTTACATGACATGTTGCTTTATTTTAGATTATATGGATTAATTTCTAACCAACCTGGCCCAGTGTTAAAAAGTTATTTGTTCCTTTATAATAACTGAACAAATAGATACACAGCCCTGCACTAAATTATCTGTTGACAGATTGTTTTACAAACATGTGTGGCTTGTGCCAATGATTTTTTCTTTATGAGCGTCATTTCGAAGCTTATGCACGTTCTCATTATCTTGTCTGTTCAACATTTCTTCACACTTCTAATAACACTAGGCCCCACAGCAAAAGCTTTTTTTGTGCAACCACACTCTCATTATGTGTTTGGAAATGTTTTGTAGTGACATGATACCATCTAAAATATTATTGATGGCATTTTATATTTTCGTTACTAAACCTTTTCCAGGTGACTGCTGGCTCCTTGCAGCTATTGCATCCCTGACTCTCAACAAGCAGGTTTTGTACCGTGTTGTGCCCCATGACCAAAGCTTTGATGAAAACTATGCTGGGATCTTCCACTTCGAGGTATAATTCCACGTCTAGTAGAGCTGTGATTTTAATAACAGGACTGGAAAGCTGGATTTTACCTGCAGCATATTTCTGTGGTTTTCAGTTCTGGCAGTTTGGTGACTGGGTGGACGTGGTGGTGGATGATCGCTTGCCAACCAGAAATGGAGAACTGCTCTTTGTTCACTCGGAGGAAGGCTCAGAGTTTTGGAGCGCCTTGCTGGAAAAAGCCTATGCTAAGTATGGATAAATCTGAGTACATACTGTAGCTTTTTGTGGCAACTTTTTTTTTTTATTAGTAATAGTACTTAATTAGGAATGTTTTCTTTTAGAATAAATGGATGTTATGAAGCTCTTTCTGGAGGCAGCACCATAGAGGGTTTTGAAGACTTCACTGGGGGCATCGCTGAGCGCCATGAACTCAGCAGACCTGATCCACATCTCTTCCATATAATCAGAAAAGCATTGAGCAGAGGCTCCCTTTTGGGATGCTCCATTGATGTTAGCCTGAGTTCTTGTTTCAATACAGTATTTGCTATCATTGTGGTAGTTATCTCACAGGATTATTCTACCCATTTCAGATCACCAGTGCAGCTGATTCTGAGGCAATTACCCACCGCAAACTGGTGAAGGGGCACGCTTACTCTGTTACAGGAGCAGAGCAGGTGAGGTTCCAGGAGGCATATGATCAAAACACACCAACTGCTGAAGCATTATGGTTTCTCCTCATATATTTGATTTCTGGTTCTGTGTTAGGTTGAGTATGATGGGGAGATGGTGAAGCTGATCAGGATCAGAAACCCTTGGGGTCAAGTGGAGTGGACAGGAGCATGGAGCGACAAGTAAGTTAAGAATATAGCCAACCTGGTATCTAAGTTTTTTATGTATTTACTTTGCTCTGCAGTCATTGTTTGCTTATTTTTCCAAGTTTCTCTTTGTTATTGTTGAATCATTAACACTGCAGGGCTTCTGATGTCTTCCTCCTGAATAAGTCATCAATGGGTTAGGGTTAGGGTGATTATAACTGGCTGGCTGCTGATCTGAAAACTTCACCACTGATCCATAATCTTTCATGAGTTTATAATGACTTTCCCTCTGGTTTGCTGAAAACCTAAATCTTTAAAGATGGCTTTATAATGCTTTTTAGATTATAATATCAGTCATCTGGTTTTCAAGCAATTGCTATATGTAAATGGGTGTGGCTAGTGATTGGAATGAAATAGACAGAGTTAAACCCTGTTAATTCATTATAAAAAACAAATTTTCTTCCTGTACCTAGGGCCCTTCAACATGCCCATTACTAATTAATTGGCAAAACTATTTGAAAATCACACTGTTTTACACTTTTTACTGAAATTTCTTTAAAAAAAAATTCTGTCCAAATCCTGTATTTCCAGACCAAAGCACCCCGTTAACAATTGCAAAAAATATCTCAGATATTTATTTTTACAAAACTCATTGAAACACTCGCAGAAAATGCCTTCAGAATACTTTTTTGCATTTTTATTTTTATGAAACAACAATAAAATCAGATTTTACATGTAGCTGTTCAAACGTTATTAACAAAAAAACAGTGAAGGTTACAATATATGTGAATGCTCTGGTTAAAGCTCTGCAGTGTTACCAGGCATGAATGTGCCCCAAATGGTTCAAAAACAGCATTCAGTTTTGTTTAGTCTGCATTTTTACTGGCTTTTTAAGGTGTTTTCTGGGAAATACTAACAGACTTTTTGATAAATATTGCAAAGGTGTGTGATTAGCTTTTTTTTTTAACTTTTCTTATCTTTAGCCCCTCATAGCTTTTTTTTTTAACCTTTCTTACCTGATATTAAAATCTGCTTGATGATCTGAAGCATATAAGTGTGACAATATAAGATCAAAACAGACAAGAAATCTGTAAGAGGGCACGTGGACTTTGAGGACTGTACACCTTGGAAATTTTCCCCATTCTAGGGGGAAATTGAGTAGTAAATTCAGAACTGAAAGATACCCAAAAACATTTTTTTCTGCAACACAATAAAAAAAATCTTAAAGAAGAAAGATGCACTTGTTAACTTGGGTCTCACTATATAGTCCAAACATAAATCCAATCAGAGCATGTTTAAAAATTTAGTTGAATTAATTCAGCAACTCCTTCTAAATTACTGACTTGGTCCTCCTATGCCTTGACTGCTCTAATGTGACACGTACCGGTAAGATGTTTTTGTTGTAGTCAACGCCTGTTACTCTATCATGCTTCTAACATACATAGGCAGACACACCCATTGGAGTGGCTGGAAAATCCTGTTGTAAAAACAAAGGTATTTGTAGTCTTGCCTGAAGGTTTGTTTAGTGGTTGCTATGTAGGCGTGGAGTCCTGCACCACTTTGATTATTCCCATCCCTAGCTGTGTGCTCAAGTGTCACTTCTTATGTTTCTTTACTTTAGCTCATATGAATGGAGGCGTGTGAGCAGTGAGGATCGAGAGCGACTGACCAACCGCTCTGAGGATGGAGAATTCTGGTAAATGTGAAAATATTTTTAAAAGAAAATCGTTGTAGAATTTTTTTTCATGTTTCTGCATCTTTTTTTCTTCCACAGGATGTCCTTTTCAGATTTCCTTCGCGAGTATTCCCGCCTTGAGATCTGCAACCTTACCCCAGATGCTCTGACAGACGATGAATACCAGAAATGGGCGGAAACAGAGTTTGAGGAGACATGGAGGAGAGGCGTGTCAGCTGGTGGCTGCAGAAACTATCCAAGTAGGCTCAGCATTATATAATAAAATAACTTTTTCTTTGTTTCTTTTTTTATATACAACTAAATATAACTTTATTCCTAAACCTTCTAGAAAAGTTTATTTTCTATACCAAAAACGGACTTTGCCACATCAATACCACTTATTTGCTTCATTTTTTAGACAGCTTCTGGACAAATCCTCAGTTTGTGATAAAGCTGGACGAAGTGGATGACGACCCAGATGATGATGAGGAGGAGGGGTGCACATTCATTGTGGGCCTGATGCAGAAGAACAAGCGCCGTAGGAGGAAGTTGGGGGAAGACATGGAGACCATTGGATTTGCCATTTATGATGTGAGGGGATGACAGCAAAGAGGAAAAGAAAAAATATGTTAAAATTATGTAACATTAAATGAGATTCTGACTTTGAATTTTCTTTCCCTTTTCTAGCTTCCTGAGGAGGTATATCACCAAGAGAGTCAACTGGCACAACTGTGATGATTTCAATTCTAAAATACCTTTAAATGACCCTTTAAAGGAAGTGTATTATCATTTAAGGCTCTTTTCTTTACATGTGAATTTACTTTTTTAGAGTTATATCTTTGTGCAAGGACAAAAGAGCATAATATTTGGACATGTGTGGAGAAAGCAGGGAAAACTTGCCACCTTGTATCTCTATGTAAAACACAGTTTCCACACAAGAAAAAATTTGTGGAAAACATTCAAGAAGCTTCATTTCTAATGTTTAATTGTCCAGTAACAATAAGGAATTCAGCAGTCATGCTGTTTGACAACAGCAGTTTGCAGACCAAAGAAGCAGGTATGAAGGGATTTTAGAAAGCTTCATGGATAGCCTGGTCTGCAAGTTATATCCTCTTGTGACAAAAAATGGAGTCACATCACGTATTTGCCCTAAAAACTAACTTTCGTGTATTTTTACCCATACGAGATTCAAGATAAATAAAATTACTGAAATAGATTGCAGCAGTTAGTGGTTCTAATTTGTTTTAGAAAGTAATTATTGTATAAAATATTTTGCATTATTTAGGAAAAGCAATCAATTACTTATATTAAGGACTGACAAATTGTACAAACCAAGGACACAGAAAGAAAAAAAAAAGAACGAAAAGAATGTTGCAAACGGCGTATGTTAGCAGAGAGACCGATTTTGGTTAAAAAGTGAATCTATTTGCAGGGTATCAATAAAAATCCATACTTCCAAAAAGGTATTTTTTTTTTTTTATAAAAAGTACACGGAAAAATAGAAGTTAAAATACTTTAAAAAAATAAATCATAGTAGTAGAAGTAACAATACTACAATAACGCACAATCAGACATTGTGGAGCCACATGATAAATAATCATATTACTTCCTGTTTTTAAGAAAACAGAAGGTAACCTTTTGATGTCAAAAGTGCTTTTAAAATGTATTGTTCTTTGACAATTATCGGGAAATGGGATTATGATTTATGTTTTAAACTTTCAATATTTATAGGATTTATTGGTCAGAAATGTTAAGTAATCCGGACAGTTATGTACAATAAATTTGAGAAAATGTTCTTAGAGAACAAGTGAAGAAAATTCCAACCCTGTGTGTCATTTTTGCAGTACTCTGGCCAGAAAAATGTGCACCTGAAGAAAAACTTTTTCCTGCGTAACCGTTCAGCAGCACGTTCCGAGACCTTCATCAACCTGAGAGAAGTGAGCAATCGCTTCCATCTTCCACCTGGAGAGTACCTCATTGTTCCCTCCACCTTTGAGCCCGGCAAGAACGGAGACTTTTATGTGCGGGTGTTCTCTGAGAAACAGGCAGATTTCCAGTATGTTACCAATACTTAACACACAGTTTTCACACAGATGGAAAATAGTAAGTGAATTATTGATAAAATTTATATTATTGCTTCTTCCAGTGAGATAGACGACCCCGTAGAAAGCCATGTGGAGCAGGTAAAATCCTCTTTTGGTGCGATGTTAATTTCTTTTTGACAGAAAATTTAAACTTATGTTTTTCATACTTAGATTAATATTGATGAGGATGACATCTGTGACAAATTCAAGAGGCTGTTTGGATATCTTGCAGGAGATGTAAGCATGTAAAAAATATTTCCCTAGTGTCTCAAGGTGTCTAATATTTGTTTTGGCAATTGCAATAAAAGTGTGAATCTCATCTCTCAGGATGTGGAAATTACTGCATTCGAACTGGAAAAAATCCTCAATAAAGTAGTAGCAAAGAGTAAGTTAATCCTGCTTCTTTTTTCTAATCTTGATGTACATTAGCTCTAATAAATCTTTTGCTTTTTTTTGTCTATTTTTAAGGAGATGATATCAAAACCGATGGATTTTCTCTTACAACTTGTCGGAATATGGTCAACCTGCTGGATGTATCCTTTTTATTAATATAATTTTTTTTATTGGTACTGGTAGTGGGGGTTACTATAATTTTAACCTTTAATTTTCTATGAAAAAAACAATAACTTATCTCAACTTCAGTAAGTTAGGGGAAAAACTGTATAAGCTTTTTAAGGCTTTTACAACCTTTAGGAAATGAACATAAAAAGCAAGTAATTAAGTAAACCTTGTAATATTTATTTTGAGCATGTAAACATTAAATGTTACCAGAAAAATAGTTAATAGGCAACATAAGCCTTCCAGTGCCTATTTAAGTATACAAATCAAGCATTGAAAATAACCATATTACTCAGTTTGAAAAGGAATGAGAGGGTTCCGATGTGTATTAACCCAACCCCATTTAATACATACATTGTTTATTTTAATCTAGACAATTTAAATTATTTCCAGACTAAACTAAAAGTCCTAAAGATTATTACAGTTACTTGTCTTAGTAAAAACGAATTAGCTGCAAATGTATAGTCTGTCATGATGGGTTTCTGGATGCTAGCCCATATGCAGAACACAACTCAGAGACGGGAAAAAGTTCTAAGGTTTAATTTAGAAGAGGTGCAAAAACAGGTCAGGGGGAATAATCAGGTCCAGGGCTGGTCACGGCTGGGTTTCTGTCCTGGAGCTTGAGCAGAGCAGCAGAGGGGGAGAATACCAGGAGGGTTCAGAGGCTGATGGCAGGCTGAGGGCTTGGTGGAGGCTTAGCTTGGCTAGGGCTTGTAGATCTCCAGGTTTGGGTTCCCCTTCCAGATTCTTCTGGGAGCAGGCTGGCTGATCTTAGACAGGTTCGGTTCTCCAGGGTTCTTCTGAGATCAGACAGACAGATTTCTACCAGAGAAACTCTTCAGGGGGTTTCTGGTTTCTGGCAGGTTCAACCTGGGAAACAGAGAAGACAAAGGATCAGGTTCTGGTTCAGGTTTCGTAGTCAAAGGACTAGAAGGACAGGTTGGCTCAGGGTTTGCTGTACCGTGACTGACTAACACTCTGGCACTGGAGTGAGGTTCTCAGCCCGCTTAAGTACTGGTCTCCTGATGAGCAGATGAGAAACAGCTGGTGAAGTCAGCTCCAGCTTCAGGAGATCCAATACGCCCTCTGGTGGAGAAAGGTAGACAGAACCCCAGATCCCAACAGTAACACAAAACCCCTAGGAAGGGATCCTCGGCGCCCTCTGGTGGTCAAGCCTCAGGATCCTAACATAGTCTGCAAAAAAGATCAGCTTATTTCATGTATTTCCCTGGAAGCCCTTATGTTGAAGCATAACTACAGCAATTATTTTGGGCAAAACAAGAGATAATTGTGAATAAATGTTTTACAGTTCAGCTGCCCTTCACTAGATTTGAATTTAAGGGATATGTCTTCTTCACGTTTTCAGATGAATGCTTATTGTTTGTTAATAACTAATACAGTCATGTGATATCCTAATTTAGGCAAAGCAGATGAAGTAAAACATTTTGGAACTGCATTCACCCGTGATGAATTTTAAATCAGTCATTACACTGCAAAGACATTCAAATTGACTTCAAAATACTCAGGTCCTCCCCTCTGAGTGAATTTATGTCAGGGCTCATAACAGGGGACCCAGTGGTCAGGGCAGGCAGACAGTTAGATTTCTCAAAAAGTGTTTATTTAAAAACACGACGGATCTGCAGTAAGCAGCAAGGGGTTAGGGCATCTATGGCATGAACCTCTGGAGGAGGGAAACACAGGTTAGTGACCACATTAATCTGGCGAAGACTGATTACGAAAGTGTGAGTCACTAACCTGGTTTTAAAGTTCAGTCCGTGTTTAGAGGAAGAGGTGGACTCCAGCCGGAATCCAGCCCAGAGAATTCCAGACATTGAAGCCTTGAAGACTGCAGAGGTGGCAGGAGATCAGATTCAAGCAGACAAAGAAAGACGAGGGCGAAGCCAAAGTCAGTGTCAGAGAGGTTCAAAGGAGTCCGAGCCAGAAGATCAGAGATCTAAAGTAGTACCAAAGGGAAATCCAGGTCGTTGTCAGGAAGCAGATCCAGGTTTGGTACAGGCAGAATCCAGCAGTCCAGAGACAGTTCAGGCAAACAGATCAGAATGGAAACAGGCAGGCTCAGGATCAGGGAGGACATGACTTAGACAAACTTAATTGTCATTTTGTACACACAGGGTGTATGCAAAATGAAGTTTTGTTTTGTTGACAGAGGTGTTCTGTCCAACCCGGACTGATTGAGGTCTGTTTGCGAGGAAGTCTAGCAGCCAATTGCAGAGGGGTTTATTGAAGCCCAGCTGTTCCAGTTTTCCTATCAGATGCTGTGGGATGATGGTGTTAAAAGCTGAACTGAAGTCCTGGAAGAGCATCCGCACGTGGGGTTTTTTCTCTCCTCCAGGAGTGCCATGCTCAGGTGAATAGGGGAGGACATGGCGTCTTTAGTGGAGCGGTTCCGTCGGTAGGCGAACTGGAACGGGCTGGGGTGCTGTAGTTTGTGATCATCCGTGTGCCTTACCACATCCTCCTGGTGTTGCTGCCATTGTGGAAAAGATCCTGGATTTTCTGGCTGTAGTTCTGCTGGCCTTATTTCTACTGTAAACTAAAGGGGCTGAAGTTTCATTAATACATGTGTTTGATATATTGGTTCAATATTCCTTGACATTTATTTAAAAGACAAATGGAAGTGGTAAGCTGGGGCTGGTAGAGTTCAAGATCCTGTGGACAAAGATTGAGAAATTTCTGGTTTGTCCCTTTTTTATATCTCCTTAAGATGTTAAAATCTCTGCAAGAGTAATGGACCGATTACAGCTAAAGGTATTTCCTTGTTTTGCCGCTCAGGATCTGTTCAAGTCAAAAGACGTGGATCAAAGTGGTTGTATGAGCTCCATCGAGATGCGAGTGGCCGTTGAGGAGGCGGGTGAGAAATACGCTTATTAAATTATTTTCCTAATCAATTATTTTTCAGTACTTAAAGGAGGATTACCCAACTTTGGAGAAAACAAAAGAAACAAAGGTTTAGATGAGATAAATAAGTGTGATTGTTGTGTTTTTACAGGTTTCTCGCTGAACAATGCTCTGCACCAGATCATTGTGGCTCGCTACAGTGAGCAGCTCAGCATTGACTTTGACAACTTTGTCTGCTGCCTGGTTCGCTTGGAGACACTCTTCAGTACGTTTTTTTCCTCTTGTTGGGATTATTTTTTTCTCTTGTTATCTTGTACATACAACAACTGTAGTTTTTTCACTTTCACTCATTCCAACAGATGTTTTTAAGGAGATGGATAAAGAAGGGTCTGGTGTAATAGAGCTGAACTTCTTTGAGGTAAAAGCCTTTGATTAAATAAAACATTGATGGTTGGAAGGGGAATTAAAGACTAACTTGCTAATGCTTTTATCAACAGTGGCTGGAAATGGCGATGTTATAACAGGGCCGCAAGTAAACACTGAAGAATCTGGGTCTTTTGTGGATCTGTATTTAACAAGATTACTTAGAGTTGTCAACCTTGAACATGTGTATAGTTTGCGGCCAGTTGCAGAAAGAGGTTTGCTTAAAGGATAATTACTAAATATTAGCTTTGAGGGACTAAGTATTGCAAATGCTTGCATTATTTGTCAACACAATAAAAATTACTCGACAAACATGATGTAATTCTTTGGAATAAAGGGGAATTCTTCTGGGCTGATGTTTAATGAACTTACCTAGAAAGTTGCTTGACACTTCATCAAATATACTTTGTGGCTTTCAAGACTTAAATAAAAAAAAGCAACGCTTAGATGAGTGTGGTATATATGATGACTCTATCTTAGGACCTAAGTTTGACTGTGTTTACATTGTTAAAAAATTAGTGGATTATGTGTGACTCTTCCCATGCAAAACATGTTACCATTCACTGAAATAAAACCATGATTTATCATCTTTAACTTCTAAGTGAAGAAAATGTAATTTTCTTTGTTTTTGGTTCTTTAGTTTGTAAGTTTTCTTTAAAGAAAATATACATAATGGAAAGTTATTTAAAGGATTTGTAAAGACTTTATAACTAAATAACAATCAGTAGTTAAACTTTCAGTGGGGTTAATATGTATTAAAATAAAAATGTTGTTGAATTCCATTATAGGTTGACAATGGAGTCATTTTATTTGTGTATTTGGTTATTAGTGACTTAAAAAATGACCAAAGAAGCCTACAGAACCAGTATTTAAAGTTGAAATCTTCATTAAAAGGATGAATGCACTCTGAGTAAGGAGCCTTCAGCTCTGCTGCAACACTGACTGCTACAGGAAATCCCACCTACTCACAGCTTTGAAATTAATTATGTAGTTATATTTCTTTAAAATATAACTACATTTAACTGAATTGATTCAAACTAACAGTACTTTCCAGCAGCTGTAATGAATGTTTAAATCTGTTGCAGCCATACTTGAATGAGGTTTGGTGTAGGCAAGAAACCTCTCAGTACCAAGAGCTTTTATTTTTATCTTTATTTAAGGATAGAACTCGCCAAAAAAATGGAAATAGCTGTTTTGTTTTGTTTGTTTGCTTTTTTCAACATGCCATCATTAAAAAACTTTTTCATGAATGTTGTTCTAGAATGAAGGAATGACTAAAGAAGGAACAAATAATTTCAGAAAATCCAATAAAATTACAAATTTAACACTTACAAATGTATAAATATATGGGGATTTATATAATTACAAGAATCTAAAAGTTAAAATGGTGGATACGATTTTATTTTTTTATTTGAAGACCAAGAAAAAGATTAAAGGAACAACAATAGAAGAATTTTTTATATAAAACCTGATAACCAGATATTGTGGAAGAGAAATACTAACATCTGTTGACTATTTAGAGAAGAAAAAGAAGAATTATCAAAAAAAAGCCTAATAAAATTCTAAGATATTTTTTTTTATTTGAAATCAAAATATGAAGGCAGGAGAAGAATGAAAGTGGGGGGGGGGGGGGGGAACTGAAAAAACCCCCGAAGATATTAGGGACAAATTATTTTAAATGGAAAGAAACAGATCAGAACCAAAAGCTGAAAAAAATATAAATCCAAACAAAACTGAGATTTACAAAATGCTGAAGAGTACTTTTAAAGTAGAGCAACAATTGCTTCATTTAGTAACTTAATTTCAGCTTCTGTCAGCAAATAGCTAATATGTTGACATTATATAAAATTTAAACCTTAGAATGTCCTTCTTCCAGATCATATATTTTTAAGAAAACCAGTTTATGCCTGATCCTAGCATTCTCATGCTTGGGCATTGCTATAATTTAACAGAGTTTGTTGCACACTTTTAACCACTTAAATGAAATGCACATTGTTCTAATGTTTCTTTGAACACATAAAATTTTGGAATTTTATGTGTTTCTGTAATAATACCCTCCCTCTCTTTCAGCTAAAGGTTTTTTTTTGTTGTTTTTTTTTGTTTTTGCGGTGTGGTAGTTGTTTTTTTCAAGCTTTATACAGTACATTAATTGTGACTATTGAAATTCTACCAGATCAGAGGATTTAAGTAAGCAGGAATGAATGACTTGCAGAATCATGTCATAATAGCCAGCCTCATGAATTGGCTCTTTTCTGCCATGTGCATAGAGGTTTAAATTATGTCGTGTACATGTTACCCAAGGCTTTTCAGAATCAAAAATACTTTAATAATCCCAGAGGGAAATTACTTAACTGTTTGTTAAACTGTTTAGGTACAGTAAAATCAGTAAGCAGCAGAAAATGTGTAATGCTTTTATTAAGAGAATAGATTGTTTAATCAGAACTTACTGTCAGTCTTGGTTTTCCATTTGTTGTCCTCTGCTGCCCTCTTGTGTCCTCTTTCCCTAGCTCTGTTTTCTGCTCTGTCCTCACCTGTTTTCAATCCTCTCGTTAGCCCTCTCTTTGTCTCTGTCCCCTTTAAAAGCCTCCCTCTTCAGTTCCTGTTTGCTGGATCCTCGTCTAACGTCTGTCTGCTTACCTCGTCTCTCCCTGGCTCCTAGAGTTCCCCTGATGTCTCCTTGGTTCTGGTTCGTTGTTATTTTTGTTGGATCTTTGATTCCTGCCTCCGTACCTGTAAACCTCATTAAACCCATCAAAATTCACCTCTGCCAACTTGCCTCTGCTTTTGGGTCCTCAATCAAACATCAAATCCTGACACTTACAGTATTTGATTCGAGGTTTCCAAGCAGATTATTTAGTCAATAATCACACTAATTTTTATTTTACTCATTTGTTCCATGTCTACCATATTTAAACTTCCATATCAATCTTTCTAATGATTTCCAAGTAAATTAACTTAGTTTCCTCCAAATTAAAGAACAATAGTTTTTTTTTAACCACCTTTTTAACTTTACATCCATAGCTGCTGTAAGCACTGATCTACTGTATACAATAATATTTGCATCATCCATAAAAAAACAAAAACACCTCTTTTGAACTGTATATATGGAATGTATGTAATAAACAGGATGAAACCCAATACTGAACCCTGGGGGACACCCCCAATATCAAAGGATGACAGACTTTTCACCAATGGTTTCTACCAATTAAACAGCCAATCATACAGTACACTCCAGGGTATCCCCCATAATACACCATGATACTCTGATTTACTTTTTATCATATTGTGATCAATTGTGGGAAATAGTTTTTTGACATCAAAATAAGAGACCAATTGCCAACTTCTTTTTATCTAAGGAATTCCTGATTTCCCCTATCATTTTCAGGACTGCCAAAGCTGTGGATTTCTGTGATCTAATTCCAAACTGACTATTATAAAGTAGTTTTTTTTGTTTTTGTTTTTTTTACTAGTCTGGTAACAAATGTTTTCATTTATTTATTTATTCACAAAATGTGACCGTTTATATCATCATTCAGTTTTGTTGATATTAAGGTCAATTTTGCGCCTCTGGAATCCCAGAGGCGCAACACTTATGGAGAGGGACCCATAGTTTAAATATACTCCAAACAACCAAATATAGTAACATCAAAAGCAAAATCACAAGGAAAGCAGAAATTACAACAATAACTACAACAACAAACCAAAAAAAAAAAGCAACAGAACAAGACAGAAAACAAAAGCCCACCCTCAACTGCCCACAACCTGGATTATATTACAGATGGAGCCTGATAAATTTATCCATCCAGTCTGTATGCACATAACATTCAAATCAGATTTACATAATTTTTATTCAAGATATTTCATGCATTCAGGGGCCAGACCAACACACGACCAAAGAAATTTATCAGTCAGGTTTTTGAGCAAAGCGTAGCAATACATTTTGATTAAAAAGCTTTTTTAAAGTATGAAGAGAGTGTGATTCTTTTATAGAACTATGAATCTCATTCCAGATCCCTGGGCCTCTAGACACTACACTGAAGCTGGTGTACTTCAAATGATGACTTTTCCCTCTTAATAAAGGTCTCCATCTCGTGTTATGTTTATGAGAAGGAGCTGTCACTGGACTGAGCTGGCAGAGTCTAGCTTTTAATTTATGTGCCACGTTATACTTAATACAAGCAAAGTGAAATCTGTTGCACTAAATGAGCTTCAGAAGCTTGAACCCATAAAAAAGATAATGTGAGGGATTGTTAAAATTTGCCCATGATCCATCAATTCATCTATTTTCCATCATGCTTATCCCAAGCAGAGTCGCTGTCCAGCTGTCTACAAGAGGCGGGGTATACCTTGGACAGGTCACCAGTCCATCGCAGGGCAACACAGAGACAAACAACCATTCACGCACACCTAAGGAGAATTTAGAGAAGCCAATTAACAGTAATTTTTTTTAACTATGGGAAGAAGCCAGAGTATCCAGAAAGGACCTAAGCATGCTCAGGGAGAACATGCAAACTCCATGCAGAAAGACTCGGTCAGGAAACAAACCTGGAACCTTCTTGCTGCAAGGCAGCAGTGCTACCCACCGTACCACTAGGCAGCCCATTTGCCAATGATATGACACGTATAACCTTCTTCTGAAGAATCTCCAGTTTTTCAAGATAACAAGGATATGTGTAACATATATCTTTGCATTAAATTATATGAGGTTTAAACAGAGATTGATACATAGTCAGAAGGAAGAAAGTGTCTCAACTTAAAAAAAAAAAAAATAGACCAACATATTTGGATGATTTATTCATTAGATATCCATCGTCTTTTTTTAAATTGAAAAATCCATCTATGTATACTCCATGGAATTTGGTTCTTTCAACTCTCTCTATTGCTCTGTCATGATGGGTTAAGGATACAAGCCCATATGCAGAACACAACAGAGGCTGGGTAAAAGTTTAACAGAGTTTATTTAAAGTTCTGAAACACAAGATAATGTACAGATTCTGGAACTGGTCCGGGCTGGTTCACTGAAGTCTTGACTGGGTCCGGGCTTCTCTTTGAGAGAGAGGGAACAGTTGGGTCCAGAGACTGTTGGTTCAGCAGAGTACACGAGGAGCAGCAGCGTCTAGCTTCTGACTTAGCATGGCAGACCTTGATCTGAGTTTCCAGCTCTTCACAGAGAGCAGCAGGGGATATCCACATAGGAATCTTCAGGTTAATTCCACATAGGAATCTTCAGGTTGGCTCACCAGGGCTGATTGGCAGGTTAAGCTCACCCAGAGCTTCAGGCTAGAGATAGGTTTCCTGTGAGGCAGCTCACCCAGAGCTTCAAGCTAGAGACAGGTTTCCTGTGAGGCAGCTCACCCAGAGCTTCAGGCTAGAGACAGGTTTCCTGTGAGGCAAAAACAGAGGAGAGTTAGAATCTGATCTCTCACTTGAGACAACTAAGATTCTTTCAGTTTCAGAGGCTCAGGTTGCTAACCAAACTAAGATCAACACTGCGGCCTCGAACCAGCTGCGGTCTGGCAGCTGGTTATAAAGGGAAGGTCTCTTGATGAGTAGATGCGTCTCAGGGGTTCTGGAAGACTCCAGCTCCAGGAGACCCACGGCGCACTCTGCTGGAGG